GATTATATTAAACAGGTCCTTGTGAACAACCTTAGTTGGTAGTTTTAAAGCTTTTTGGCCATGGTTTACAGTAAGAAATACATTTCACACCATTACTATGTCAGACATAATAATGTATACACATGCATAAGTACATGTGTATACCATGTATATGTACAGGTGTATACTACTACACATATGTACATATGTATACCACGTATATGTACATGTGTAGATTATGCATATTGACAAGTGTATATCATGTATATGTACATGTGTGTCACAACCCGTTGGGTTCCTAAGGCCCTGGTCTCCGTTACTGCAGGAAGGAACCAGGCGAGAGGCGGATTAGAAGTACAAGCGTGTAGGAGGTGGGTTAGCTCTTACTTGCAGGGTAGCCCCAAGCAACCTCCGCACCAGCCTTTTATTGAGACCATACAACACAGATGAGGGGAGTAATTAACAAATGACTACGTGCTGAAGGCTGGGGCTCTTTCACAAGGAACTCCTGGGGACAAATGGCCCGAGGGTCCACCCCTCAGATTATCTTGCTCAGATGTCATCTGGCTCTTGGTGTCCCCTGCACATGTGTATACTACGCATATGTTCATGTGTATACCATGTATATGTACATGTGTATGCTAGGCATAAGTACATGTGTATACTACGTATATGTACATGTGTATGCTAGGCATAAGTACATGTGTATACTACGTATTTGTACATGTGTATACTATGCATATGTATATGTGTATAATTAAACAAGTTTCATCAAGTGCTTCTCCCTTACAAAATGGATGTATTTTCATATTTCTCAATTCTGTGTGTTTCTATTCTATTTCATGGAAAAAGAAAACTGCTGGTTGCAACTCACTAAATCAATCTCATGATTCTCTAATAGGTTAGGGTCCACGTTTGAAAGATGTGACTTGATTTCAAGCACAGTGTTAACTGGTGACTACTGAGCTGTTTTTATCCTGTTCTATCAAATATTTTGATGAAGATCTATAAGGAATGTTCTCAACTTTGCAGATAATAATAAGAATAAATTATTTTTATGATATAATCAGGATTAAGAAATTCCCAGGAGATGAAATTTAAGAATTAAATAGACAACCTGAATAAAAAATAAAATTTAAATAGATATGTACATATTTGTACTTGATATTTTAAAATCTACACGTAAAAGCACACATGGGAGATATGCTGTTGCTAACAAAACAAAAAATAGCAACAAAACAAAAAACCTTGACTTTTCAGGTTGATAATCATTTCAACATGAAAGGGGAATGGAACCAAAATTATCTGAGAACTTATTACATGCCAAACATGAATCATCACTATATTACATGGATTAATAGTGTCATGTTGTCGAAAAACTAAAAACCAAACCACACCAAACACATCTATGTTGACTTGAGGTTACATTAACAGGAGTTATAATTCTGAAGGCTGAGGCTGATGTAAGAGTTTCCCTCTGATTAATACTGGTGTGAACCTCCATGGAATTTGGAGTATGCTGTTCAGATAATCATTAAAAAGACCAGTTTTTTCAAGATTAGGTGGAGGAAGTGGAAGTATTTAGCTTGGAGAACTGCTGTTTTCATTCATTTGTCTTTGAATACATTTATTAAATGTAAGTCACAAGCCAGGCGTGTTAGGTGCTGAAAACGCAAAAATAACTGTGAGTCTTTTCCCATAGCCAATGAAAGGAAATATTCATTGGCTATGGGAACTAGTCAACTGTTACTACCTTAAATACCTTAAATGTATTGGCTCCTCTAAGCCTATGAAATAATTAAATACCCAAATGTATTGGCTCCTTTAATCCTATGAAATAATATTATCATTCCTACCAAAGTAGGAATGGGTAGTTGTGTATACTGACTTTGAGACTTTGGAATTAGGTTATTTATCCAAAGATCTCACATGTAAGTGGGTAGGGGAACTGGAATTCAAATCTAGATTCTATTGGATCTGAAGGGCATGTGCAATGTTGCCTCTTGAAACTCAAATTCATAATCTTATCTTTGAAGGGGTGCCCTTAGGAAGTATGGGTTTATAAAGATGCATACCAAAGTAATGTTTACCATATAATTTTTTTTTAATCTGGAGACTTAAAAACAGATACTTTAGGCATCTTCTTTTATTATGTAGCTTATCTTTTATTTCAAAATATTGTTAATGCAAATGCTAAGTTATTAACACCTTTACATGTAAATAGGCTTTATAGGCCAAAAGGAAGCAGACTTGCTGTCTTTTCTAAACTTTATGTTTTTTAAAACTTGTAACTGTGTAATTATGGAGAATTGTATGTGATAATAGTCCCTATTACATGTGTTTATAGGTCTTGTAACACACATTATGCCTGTACACTCAGGATATAAAGACACATTTACTACGTGCTAGCGGCTGGGTTGAAATTATTTCATTGTATTCTCACTTCCCAATGGTTCAGAGCTTATCATCCCTATTTAAGGAATGAACAGACTAAAGCTCAAATAGATTTTACAGGTAGTAAGTTGTGAGTATGATTCAGAACTCGATATACTTTCCACAGTACAATACCAC